AATTGGTCATCTGTTAGTATGCTAACAAAAAAATTTTCGATAATATTACTATCGCGAGGAACATTATTAATATTGCTGACCCGTTCTAGGATCCGTTTCGGGATTCTTACATTATCTCTTTGCACCAATAAAGTACAAAGTATGTCAAATATTAATGTTTCATGACCCCTCGTTACATTAACCTAATCCGGATTTTTGTATGACAATGTGACAGCAGTAATATGAAAATCCATAAATGAAGTTTTTTGACTCCCGATCACTTTCGATAACAAGCTAAAGTCTGTACCGACACATGCTTCAGCGCTTACTCCACAAGAAATAGAGAAAAATAATATAAAAAAGTGGAGCAATGTTGGATTCGCAACACTACCGATTTTTAACACTCCCCGTAGTTCCCTTAGTAAGACGTCGAAATCTCCGAGTTTCCGAATGTGGGACGATCTAAGTACCTAAATCAAAGCAGCTTGTATTTATGGAAATTATACCTAATTTTGAACAGTTTTTTACCCATCGGCTGCGTTTGACATAGGTTTCATCTTTCCATCTCTGCTCCGGAATCGTTTTCATTTTATATGACACAATTCTAAATTCGGCAGCGTAAATGCCATGATGTTATTTTAAAGCACGTTGCCTGATGATCATTAATTTTATTAAGTCTTGCTACAAACCAAAATTATCTTATTATTTGAACTGAATATAAAAATAGTATGAATCTCCGTCGACAAGAAATTTATTTCCTAATTTTGCAAAGTCTAACGAAGATCCGAGTTAGGGGTCCACTGCTAATGCTTAATACAAATATGCTTCGTTATCACATCTATAAATTATTTGAGAGCATGTTAATGCGAACAACTGCTGTGATTCATTATTAATAATAAATATCCATTTTGCGTCAATATTAAGCATTAAACCATATGCAGTAAAAATTTACGATAAGTAATATTATTTACTCTAATTATCAACTAACATTAAAGGCGATCTCTATCTATTCGACCCATTATTATTATCCCTTCACGAACGGAGATCTTCTGTCTTTAATTCCTTCCATTATCAAATATTACAGTATCACGAACGGGAAATATACTCTCCGCAAGCAAGGGTTGTCGCAGATCCTATTGCTGTCAATTATATACAATTCCATCTCAATAAGTTATTTAATTTTCTGAGACATTCGCTATAAATAACCATCATGTGCTGTCTGAAAAGTAAGAAATTTAGAAAAACTTTATCCATTTAACATACTATTTTCAGAACCAAACCACTCATCTCACGTCGTACTATTGCATTATTTGCTATACTTAAGACATTCATTATTTAAAACTACAAATCTGCTGACGATGGCTACAAAAAAAAACTGGTTTACAAAGTTTTTCATAAAAGCCAAAAGATTATTACCATATTTGTGGCCAACAAAAAATTTACGACTGCAAATCACAATACTAGTGTGCTTAACTTGTCTTGTGCTGGGGAGAATAGTTAACGTGTTCTTACCGATACAGAACAAAAAGCTGATAGATGACCTGACATTGAACACTGCGGGCGAACAATATATCTGGAAAACTATTGTGATAGACATTTTGATATATGTCGGTTTAAGATTTCTACAAGGGAGTGTTGGTTTACTTTCTAATATACAGACTTATTTATGGATTGACGTTGCACAGGTACATACACACCCCATGCTTGTTCCAAATACATGGACTTGTTAACGTAGTATTCATATTATTTGCTTTCAAAGTTTACTACACGTAAAGTTTCTGTAGACATGTTTGATCATCTTTTGGATCTTTCGCTTAGATTTCACATTAATCGTAAAACGGGTGAAATTCTTCGCGCACAAAGTAAGTGGGGATTATTGTCCGTCCAACTTGATGCGTCATTGTTAATTAATACATACTGTTTGTTCTGTTAGAGCGCGGCGTGGCTTCGATAGTGTCCATTCTATCTTCAATGCTTTTCCAAGTCGCTCCAACGTTGGCTGATATTGGAATCGCTATTGCTTATTTCTCAGTTGCCTTTGATAGATTATTCGGGATAATTGTATTGGTTACCATGTCTCTATACATAGTTGCTACCATAATTTTGACTGACTGGAGGACAACGTATCGAAGACGTGCAAACCAGCTAGAAAATCTCATGGAAGCCAAGGCTGGTTAGTATTTGATTCTCAGGCGGTGTCAAAAATTGTGTTGTAACACCGTATACAATTAACGTCACGTCTCAATTCTAGTCGACTCGCTCTTAAATTATGAAACCGTTAAATATTATGCCGCGGAAGCATTTGAAAGTAAGTACAAAAAAGCTTTATCAACTGGTCTGCAGGTTTTTATACGAGTGTCATACATGCTAATTGCACTCTTAACTCGGCATCCCTATTTCTACTGTCAGGCGAACAATATGCAAAAGCCGTCGACGACTATCAGGAGGCGGACAAGAAATCCAACGCAACCACATATATCCTCACTCTGGTGCAAAACATCATTATCCAAGCAGGTCTTCTAGGGGGCGGTCTGCTTTGTGCTTATCAAGTTACTCAAGGACAGAAAACCGTCGGCGACTTTGTATTGTATCTTGCATACATTCTCCAACTATACCAACCATTGAACGATTTTGGCAGTTACTACAAAACAATTCAAAAAGCCCTCGTGGATATGGAAAAGATGTTGGATTTAATGCATGAGCCGTTGGAAATAAAAGATCCACCAAGCGCTAAACTGTTGGAAATGGAGAAGGGAGAAATAGAGTTCCAAAATGTTAGTTTCGCATATGATGAGAGAATCCCGATCTTGAGAAATGTGTCGTTTAGAGTACCAAGTGGACATACAGTTGCTATTGTTGGTCCATCAGGAGGGGGCAAGGTAAGCAATAGAGATATGGGTTATAGGGTTTAGTAAGCATAGTCAGATGCTTTTGTTCGATTTTTGAAAAGTAACATCTTTTTCCTTTTCGGGGTCGTAGTCAACTATCTTGCGTTTACTATTACGCTTTTATGATATCCAAGAAGGTCGTATACTAGTAGACGGAGTTGATGTCAGAGATGTTAAACAATATGATCTGAGGAGTAAAATTGGAGTTGTACCCCAGGTAAATTTTATAATGTATACTATGTATGGTTAATATATGAGGGACAATTGCCATATTCATAATCTCATGTACTTGCTCCTTTGCTCTGTTTGCTATCTACTCCCTCTCTCCTTTAGGATACAGTCTTGTTTAATAATTCTATTAGGTATAATATAAGATATAGCAAAACCGATGCAAGTGATAAAGAAGTTGAGGCAGCCGCAACAGCAGCTCAAATTCACGAAAAGATTCTTGGATTTCCTGATGGTTACGAGACCAAAGTAGGAGAGAGAGGGTTAAGACTGAGTGGAGGAGAGAAGCAGCGTGTGGTGAGCAATCGCTATTGAAATAGGAGCATACCGTTGCGTTGTTGTTATGTATGCTAATAGAGAATGTTTGACTTTTTATTCTTAGGCGATCGCTAGGACATTGTTAAAGGTAATTATCTATATATGATGAAACATCGAGCTTAACTTGTAATTATAACCAGTGCTTTGTGCTTCTACACTAGAATCCTCAAATTGTATTACTTGATGAAGCGACATCGGCACTTGATACCAGTACAGAAAGACATATACAGAAGTCACTACAGCAGATGACTGCTAATAGAACTACATTAATAATCGGTAAGGAAAGAGAATAGTGATGCGAACGTTCAATAGAAAGCTCCAGTAAAAGAATATGCATTTCACCCAACAAGTTTCATTCTTAAGAACAATATGCGCGAATATATGTTTGCTCATCTAAATGAAGTTGACATGTAATTTACTTACCTACAATTTTGATTTTTAGCTCATCGCCTCTCGACAATCGTACATGCTGATCAGATACTTGTGATTAAACAAGGCAAGGTAGTGGAGCAAGGGTCGCATGACGAACTTATGCAATCCGAAAATGGCGTGTATTTCAAGTTGTGGAATAAACAGCTCAAAGATAGACTGAAAATAAAGTCGAGGATTAAACGTGGTAGCCGTACACCCAGCGTGCGTAGTAGGAAGAGTAATCGTCGTAGTAACGGTGCAGCTTCTGATTCAATCACTATAAGAGTAGAAGAAGATGTGACGCCTCAAAGAATGTCATCTTTAACTATTCCAATGAATGAATCGGTAGTAGGGAAAAATGGCGCACCGCAGAGAATGAGAGTAGAAGATGATATGACGCCTCAAAGAATGTCATCTTTACCTATTCCAATGAATGAATCGGCAGTAGGGGAAAATGGCGCACCGCAGAGAATGAGAGTAGAAGATGATATGACGCCTCAAAGAATGTCATCTTTACCTATTCCAATG